TCTCAGCTCATTGCAACCTCCGCTTCCTGGGTTCAAGAGATTCTCCTGCCTCAGCCTCCCCAGTAGCTGGGATTACAGGTGCCTGCCACCATACCTGGCTAATTTCTGTATATTTAGTAGAGACGGGGTTTCACAATGTTGGCCAGGCTGGTCTTGAACTCCTGACCTCAGGTGATCCACCACCTTGGCCTTCCAAAGTGCTGGAATTACAGGTGTGAGCCACTGCGCCTGGCCTCTTGCTACAGTCTTTTGTTAAAACATCAGAGCACTTTCGGCCTCAGAAAACAGAATCTCTCTCATCTCCCCATGCCCTTCTCTTACCTGCTAAAGGTAGCATTCTGATTGTGACTATATGACTCTCATTCAAGAGGATCCTGCCCCATACCTGAAGGAAGGAATGCTGCACAGGGAGGCCAAGAAGAATCTGGACAGACGGGCCCTGCTGGGTGTCCCCACCCGGTTGGCTAGGATTCCATCAGGCCCTTTCTGTCCAATCTCATTCCAGCATGGCTGTCCATGTGTCAATCATGCTTATCTGACGAAGTCTCATAAAAGGCCCAAAAGGACAGGGTTTGGGGGAGTTTCTGGATAGCTGAACACATGGAGGTTCCTAGAGAGGGTCTGCGCAGGGAGGGGATGGAAGCTCTGTGCCCCCTCCCCCATATCTCACCCTAAGCATCTCTTCATCTGTATCTTTTGTAATATCCTTTGTAATAAATCAGAAATTGTGTATCCCTGAGTTTTGTGAGCTGCTGCTGCAAATTAATTGAACCCAAAGAGGGGGTCACGGGAAACCCAATTTGAAGCCAGTCCATCAGAAGGTCTGGAGGCCAGATGGGCCCAGTGGCTCACGCCTGTAATCCCAGCACTTTGGGAGGCCGAGGCAGGTGGATCACCTGAGGTCAGGAGTTCAAGACCATCCTGACCAACATGGTGAAACCCTGTCTATACTAAATATACAAAATTAGCCAGGCATGGTGGCACATGCCTGTAATCTCAGCTACTCAGGAGACTGAGGCAGGAGAATCGCTTCAACCCAGGAGGCGGAGATTACAGTGAGCCAAGATTGCATCATTGCACTCCAGCCTGGGGGACAAAGAGAGACTGTCTCCCAAAAGGAAAAAAAAAAAAAAAATCAAACCCTTGCTTGTCAACAGCTTCCCCCCAACCCCCAAACAGCCCAAGCCCCATGTAATATTATTTTTTTAGATTTTTTGTTTTGTGTTGTTTTACAGTTTTATTTGAGACAGTTTCATTCTATCACCCAAGGCTGGAGCAGCCTTGACCTCCTGGGCTCAACCAATCCTCCTGCCTCAGCCTCCTGCGTAGCTGGGACTACAGGCACATATTACCGTGCCCGGAAAATTTTAGTATTTTTCTGTAGAGTCAGGTTTCACCATGTTGCCCAGGCTAGTCTAGAACTCCTGGGCTCATATGATCTGCCCGCCTCAGCCTCCCAAAGTGCAGAGATTACAGGTGTGAGCCACGCACCTGGTCCCACGCCTTTTTTCATTTTTTTGTTTGAGACATGGTCTCGCTGTGTCACCCAGGCTGGAGTGCAGTGGTGCAATCATAGCTCACTGCATCCTTGAACTCTGGGCTCAAGCCGTCCTCCTGCCTCAGCCTTCCAAAGCACTGGGATTACAGGCAGGAGCCACCGTGCCCAGCCAGCACCGCACTTCTTTGCTGGCTTCAAGGTAATGGTAGAAAACAACCGTTCAATACCAACTTGGTAAAATAATTTGTTTTTCAAACAGAAAGACTGCCTAAAAATATTACCTTTTGCTGCTAGCACCCAGAAAAACAATTAATAAAGGGTAAGAAGGAAACCCTGGCAGCTGAGAAGGCCTCCTAGTGAATAGATACAATTCCTCCCAAGTTCATACAGCTCAAGAACCTGTAATTCATTTGGTATCTAGATCTCCTTCCTTCATGTAGAGACCTTAAAGACTTCTCAGGATTTTACTTCACAGTCTAAGAAATGTTTAACTTAATAAAATACTATTTTTCTTTAGGGTTGGGTCCATCACCAAATACTAAGTCATGTTGAAAAAATTATGTATATACATACATATGTATACATACACACATAAATATTTACATATTTTTAAATCACCATAAAATACTATCCTAGGTTATCAATAGTGTGCTTATACTGCTGATCTTATTCCCAGTTGAACTGTCACAGTTGATCACTGTCCCGTTATTTTAGGATATTCTTAGCTGTGGAATTTGAGAAGACTATGAAACTATTATAGATATTTGAAGCACAGTTATAGGTTATGTTAGTTAAGTTACTTTTAATAAATGTAATGATTAGTTTGTTTACTAGGCATATACAATTAAGTACAAACGACACAAAACACTGAGTAAATAATCCTAAAAAGGCTTAGGAGGCTCTTTTCACTGTCCATGAAATTCTCCTGTGGCCTCTTGAATCAGCTATGCACAAGGCACCAACATATCTACGTCACGCCAGAAAGATTCCAGAGTTTTCCATTCCCACGAGTGGCCTCAAACCTGGGTAGGAGCTGCCGGCTGGGATCATTCCTACACGGCTCTTTCAGGCTCCCAGAATTTTTCATCTACTTCTGTGGTTCTCAAATAGGAACATTCTTCAACTATTAAATTTACTTTTATTCAAAATGATGCAACAGACACCCCCAGATTTAATATTTACGTTCTTCTTTTTTTTTTTTTGGAGATGGAGTGTCTCACTCTGTCACTCAGGCTGGAGTGCAGTGGCACGATCTTGGCTCACTGCAACCTCTGCCTCCCAGGTTCAAGCAATTCTCTTGCCTCAGCCTCCTGAATAGCTGGGATTACAGGCACACGCCACCACGCCTGGCTAATTGTTTGTACTTTCATAGACACGGGGTTTCACCATGTTGCCCAGGCTGGTCTCGAGCTCCTGAGCTCAGGCAATCCACCCACCTCGGCCTCCTAAAGTGCTAGGATTACGGGCATGAGCCACCACGCCTGGCCTTTACGTTCATATTCATATAGACACTTTATTCACATTTGTCCTCTTAAGGCCCCAATAATAAAGAACACCAAGTCATGAGTTAAGTGTTAATTTTCTTAGCAACTTGAAAAGATTAAGATCACCTCTATTAGATTCTGGAACTTTGTATCCAAGAAGTCTAATAAGGAAACACCAACAGAAGCACACATAAGAGAAACACAAACCAAGTTAACTTTGAAGATATGTTGTGCATGGCATAGCATTCACAAAACACACGCCGAAAACCTGATTAGACTCAGGACATGCATGGAATAATTGTGCTTACCAGCTTGAGAGAAAGCTTCATGTAAAAATTGGAGAGGTATGGGAAAGAGAGAGAGAGAAAGAGAGAGAGAAGGAGAAAAAAAAACAACAACGCATCAGAAGAAGAGGAACTTGGTCAGTTCCACCATATTAAAATACCACACACGTCCACCCGCTGATTTATAAAAATGACTTGTAGCAGATCTGTGCAAAAGTTCACAAGAAGGGCTGCTCCCTAATGAACTTTTCTGAGGCTCCACATTGGCAGAGCGAAGATCAGATAGAAAAGGAGGGTTTCTGTGACAGGTCCGTGTTGGTCCCTCAGTCTAGATGTAAACTAAAGTAAGCTTGTAGTCGGTGACACATAATGACTATCAAAGAAAAAATATAATCACACAACTTTTGTTCTCCAAATTTTCCATGGAAAGTTTTACACAGACTTAAAAAAGTCTGACCACCAATTACTTCCATGATAGGCAACTAATATTTTTATGTTAAGGAACTGTAATAAATATAAACATTGGCCAGGTGCGGTGGCTCAACCCTGTAATCCCAGCGCTTTGGGAGGTCAAGGGTGGGCGGATTACTTGAAGCCAGGAGTTCGAGACCAGCCTGGCCAATGTGGTGGAGCCCCGTCCGTCTCGACTAAAAAAAAAAAAAAAAAAAAAAAAAAAAAAAAAAAATTAGCCGGGCGTGGTGGCGGGCGCCTGTAATCCCAGCTACTTGGGAGGCTGAGGAAGGAGAATCGCTTAAATCTAGGAGGCGGAGGCTACAGTGAGTCAAGATCATGCCATTGCAATCTAGCCCGGGCAATAAGGGCAAAACTCTCTCTCTCAAAAATAAATAAATAAATAAATTGACATGAAGGCAAAGTCTGAAATTGGTGAACTGGTAACAAAGGACGGACGAGCAGGTGCTCTAAGAAACTACCTGCAGGACCCGAAATGTGTCTCGCAGCCACGCTAGAGGACAACGTTCTCTCCCACCGGAGCACGTGTGCTGCCCTTGCTCAGTGGACAGTGTCTGCTGAGGATTTCTATGAAACTCTGAGCCCCATCCATAGGGGTCGGGTATTTGGAGAATTATCCACTGTGACTGCTCTTTTTAAAGTATTTACTTACTTATCAATTTACTGATTTTTGGTTTTATATTTGGAGACAGGGCAGCTTGTACGGTGGCACAATGTCAGCTCACTGAAGCCTCAACCTCTAGGGCTCAAGTGATCCTTATGTCTCAGCCTCCTGAGTATAGCTGGGACTACAGGTGCGTGCCACCACACTTGGTAAAGTTTTGTATTTTTTGGTAGAGATGGGGGTTTCACCATGTTGCCCAGGCTAATATCAAACTCCTGAGCTCAAATGACCCACCCACCCCAATCTCCCAAAGCGCTGGAATGACAGGTGTGAACCACCACACACAGCCTAAAAAACTAATTATTAATTTAAGATTGATTCAAAGTTGACACTTCTTTGTAAAGAAAAAATAACCTTTTAAAGAAATTATCCCTGTATAGGAACATGAGATTTTACAGGAAAGAAACAGAAAGGCAAGCCTTTGTCGGGGGCAAATGGTACATTATACAGTCACATTCCTGACTGTCTGACGTGGGCTGTCTACAGCTATTTCAGCCTGCCTGTGAACTTGAGCACAGATCTACTTATCACAACTGGAATTCATCATACGCACAGACAAGACTTACGGTGCACAGCAGAAAACTCCAAGTATCTTTCCTACAAAGCACACTATCATATACAGATATTTTCTTACACATTATTGTCTAAACATTGCTAATTCAAAGAACTAACATTTCAACTAGGTACACTATTTGCTCTCTACTTGGCTACTTTCATTACCCAAAGTTATATATTCTTTCTTAAGCATTCCACAAACAGAGTTCTCACCTCAAAACATTGTATAGGAAGATTATAACACTTCATAGTAAAAACAAGTCATCAGGATTGAACATAAATCCCCATCGAATAGGAAATACCAGATTCTCAGACAAATTTGATTTTATTTGTGACGGATAATCTATTAATATAAGAAGTGCCATCACAGTACACGGAATTTCTTTTTAATCATTATATATTGGTTTTCAGTCTTAAGCTGTAAGCCAGCCAATTAGAATTTCTCTTAAAATTAGAAAGCAACATCATTGGCTAAAATAATAATTTTGAGGATTCCATTAAGTGCATTGCTAGACACCTGAAGAATTAAAAAGCTGTCAGTTTCAGGCGACAGTTAAAGAGCCGTGGGAGCCACAAGCGTCAATAACACATGGGGAACACAGAGCTGGCAAGTCCATGTGTTATTGGACAGTCACAGTACTAACCTCAAGTACAAAGAAAGGGGACAGTGAAAATAAATGTATAGATACATAGAGAGAAGAATACGCATTTTACTGTGCCAGGAAATCGCTCACGTGTCATCGATCTGTTTGTTTGTTCTCCAAGCTTTAGGGCATAACTCCCTAGGGATCCGTTTGTTACAAACACGGATGTGGGACTGAGCTACACTGCCGTCTGTAAGAGCATCACTCTCCTGTGACCACACATTGCAGCTGTGTTTTATGCGTGAAATTCTGCCGTGAAGTCATACCAGTGACATCTCAGATGGCAGTCACAGTCCCAGAGCTAGAATGAAAAGGGAAAAACAGACTGGGTGTGGTGACTCACGCCTGTAACCCCAGCACTTTGGGAGGCCGGGGCGGGCGGTTCACCTGAGGTCAGGAGTTCAAGACCAGCCTGACCAACATGGAGAAACCCCCATCTCTAATAAAAATATAAAAAATTAGGCCGGGCGCGGTGGCTCGCGCCTATAATCCCAGCACTTTGGGAGGCCGAGGTGGGTGGATCACGAGGTCAAGAGATGGAGACCATCCTGGTCAACATGGTGAAACCCCGTCTCTACTAAAAATGCAAAATAATTAGCCGGGCGTGGTGGTGCATGCCTGTAGTCCCAGCTCTTCGGGAGGCTGAGGCAGGAGAATCGCTTGAACCCGGGAGGTGGAGGTTGTGGTGAGCCGAGATCACGCCATTGCACTCCAGCCTGGGCAACAAGAGCGAAACTCCGTCTCAAAAAAAAAAGAGAAAAAAGAGAAACAAACAAACAAACAAAAAACCAAGCTCAGCTCACCACTGTTATTAGAAAGTTTGCTTCCTTTATTCATGCAATTTTTTCAGATAAAGTTGCCTATGGATGAATTTATACAATTAGCTTTTTTTTTTTTCCCTCTCAATTAAGAATTTCATTTCGTAGTGTGGAAGCATAAGAGAGTGCCTCAGGGTCCCCAGTCTTGGTGCTGTGAATGGGGTTAGTGGCTGTGCCGTGACTGTATGACCTGGCCGTCACAGGTGAACTTACAACATAGTCCCTAGCCTCAAAGGCATACGTGGGTTTGCCTATTGTCCTCTTCATGAGTTCTTTGTGAAAACAGAAAGACTGAGTCTGCCAATAACCAGCAAGAGAACAAGATAAAATAAATAAAATTAAAGTAACCATAAGACTTTAGCATATGACAAACAATTGGTAAGGATTTTCAAAATCTTTTGGTCAACATTGATGGTATTTTTCCATACAATTAACTCTAAAATATGAAAAATGTATGTCTATATTTTAGATATAGAAGTCTCTTGCACAGGCCAGAAAATGAAATCTTAGTTTAAGCAATAAAATTACCCTTCGTAGATGGCAAACTGAGAACATACTATCTCGTTTCATTTTTCTTCAACTTACGTAAAAATGAAATAATGGTTAATGCTCTGGTGGCATCTTTAAAGATATTCGGTGAAACAAAATTTCCTTATACATATCAACAGCTTACAACAAATCACATTTTATCCTGTTTAATTATTTAGAAACAAAATCAGTTATGCTGAGATATGTCTCCATGGGATTTATATACTCCGATGACAGAAACAAATTATTGACATCTGAATCTGAAAGCTGCAAAACATGACAAATTAAAAGACATAATAAAATCACAGATTTCTTATTCTCTCAGGAACTTTTTCTAATTAAATTATTGTTGGTGTAATAGTGTTGACTTAAAAAGCAGAATGAATGGGAAGGTAGGAGGGGCTGTATCACTTTGGTCACAGAACCTGTCAACCACGCTAGGTACGTTCCATGTTGAGATTGCTTAAAAATGAAATCTACTTCTCCAAACTTCGGATTTTTTTTTTTGAGCGTGTGCTTCCTCTTTTTTTGCACTGCAGCTTCCTAAAGGAAGGAACATTAATTCTGACCCTAAGAACAGACTGACCAAAAGTGAAAGAAGCAAAAATATTTCTCTACTTCTTTACTGTGGCTTCTAGTAGATTTAACCTCTGGAAAATAAACTCACCATTTGGGAAAAAAATAAAATTTTTTTTTGAGACCGAGTTTTGCTCTTGTCGCCCAGGCTGGAGTACAATGGTACAATCTTGGCTCACCGCAACCTCCGCCTTCCAGGTTCAAGTGATTCTCCTGCTTCAGCCTCCCCAGTAGCTGGGGTTATAGGCATGCACCACCACGCCTGGCTAATTTTATATTTTTAGTAGAGACGGGGTTTCTACATGTTGGTCAGGCTGGTCTCGAACTCCCGACCTCAGGTGATCTGCCTGCCTTGGCCTCCCAACGTGCTGGGATTACAGGCATGCCATTGTGCCCAGCGGGAAGTATTTTTTAACAAAGATTTGCTGAGCACAGATTTGAGGAGTAAGAAATACAATTCATATTGCTGATTATGGTAAAACAGAGATTTTCCTTTAAATCATCAAAAGAACCAGTTTCTCATTTCATCAAGTGTTACATTTTTTTTTTTCTAACCATCCTTTTCTTATATTTATCGATGACTGAATTCTTTGGTTTTTTTCTAAACATTTAGCAAATGCCATGAACCACAGATTCACAAACCATTTTCAGCCAATTGCACATTTCAGACTGTGTAATGTTAAGTGAAAACTAGAATTGACACATAAACAAATGGCAAACAACCATGAATATTCATCATGAGAGTTCAAAAAATACAGAGATAATATATAAATATAACACATGAATGCTTGGTAAAACGGCAGAGATGGGTTAACTGACAGTTCATACAAAACTTTCAGTCTAGCAAAAACGCCTCGTCATGGAAATTCTTGGATTAATAATGAGTGTTCTAAACACCAGCATCATTGAGCCAAGAAGCTGCAGATTCTTCAAGTCCTAATTATACAGCTCAGCTTAATCCTACTTTTTTTTTTGAGATGAAGTCTCACTCTGTTGCCCAGACTGGAGTGCAGTGGTGCGATCTCAGCTCACTGCAACCTCTGCCTTCTGGTTTCCAGCAATTCGCCCGCCTTAGCCTCTCAAATAGCTGGGATTACAGGTGCCTGCCACCATGCCTGGCTTATTTTTGTATTTTCGGTAGAGACAAGATATCACCACGTTGGCCAGACTGGTCTCGACCTCCTGACCTCATGATCCTCCTGCCTTGGCCTCCCAACGTGCTGGGATTACAGGTGTGAGCCACCGCGCCCGGCCCCATCATCACTTTTGAAGCTGTACTCTGCCTTCCATCAATGTCTTTCTTCGTATCTTTCAGAAATTCCATTTCCAATTCTTAACCTGATATGCTGGATAGCATTAAAGCAAGATAATTCTACCAACTATAAATCTGAGATTCTCATATTAAAGCAACTCTGCATATAAGGAAATATTTCTTCCTCTATTTAAAACAACTAATAACCTTGTTATCGATTATATATTTACATTTTTTGTTTTTTGAGAAAGGGTCTCACTCTGTTGCCCAGGCTGGAGTGCAGTGGTGTGATCTCGGCTTACTGCAACCTCTTCCTCCTGGGTTCCAGCAATCCTCCCATCTCAGCCTCCCAAGTAGCTAGGACTATAGGCACATACCACCACGCCTGGCTATTTTTTTGTATTTTTAATGGGGGGACAGGGTCTAGCCATGTTGCTCAGGCTGGTCTTGAACTCCTGAGCTCAAGCAATCCACCCACCCTGGCCTCCCAAAGTGCTGGGACTACAGGCATGAGCCACTGCTCCAGGCCTCTTTTTTACACAGAGTAGTTTTTGTAGAAATACGATTGTCGGGTTAACAATGACTACTGTTATTCTTTTACTGGTAACCAGCTATTGATTCCAAGTCCAAGAAGGACATCTCTCCCCTCCAGTTAATTAGTTGTAGTTTACAATCTTTTCCCATGCCAATGTGTCAGCTGACACTCAAGAAAGGCTGGCATCCAAGTCTGGCTTTGGGGCACTACCAGGCATTATTTGGAAAGAAGTAACCCAACTGGACAGCCCAGGAGAAGGGAAAAGTAAAACTTATGTTTGCACCAGAAAGCATTCTGCTACAGCTGTGTCGCAGCTCCCACAGGATGGGATTTTTTTTTTTTTTTTTTTTTTAAGGTAAAAAAGATATGTGAATGCTGCAGGGATTCCAGGCATGGGCCATTGTGCCTGGTCTAAATATCTGTTTACTCATTATACTCATCATAAAAGATATTTTGGGAAGGCTTAGACTAGACTGACCATTTAGAATGATGTGGGAATCAACATATTACTTTACGCCAATCTTTCTCTATAAACCAAGCCGGTATGTACATTAGATGGCTACCTCAATTCCATTAACTCTTAATTAGGATGGCGAACTTGAATCTTAATAACATCCACTTATGAGTCAACATAGTAGTTGCTCCCTGAAGCTGGACGTCACGGAATCGCAGACTCTGTTTACAGACTCCCTGGATCTAATCCCGGCTCTGCATCTTCCTCACTTCACCTTTGCATGCCTCAATTTCCTTAGCGGTTAAATAAGGAAATATGAGTACTATCTAGGCTTCACAGTGTGGTTGGAAAAATGTAAATGGGCACACAGAACAGAGCTTTGCACACAATAAGCGCTCAGTAAGTGTCAACTGCTTTTATGACTTCATCCTTTAAAGAGAAATCCTGCATTAGGCCTCTTCCAATCAATGGATATTTTATGAACTCCTTATAATCTCACTAAAATTGCGAATGAAACCGCTGTGACTTATGACTCTTCTCCTTTGAACCCTGAGACATAGCTCAGGTAAGTATCTTCATTACACTCACATGGCTTCAGTAATTATTAAGGCAGTATTTTTTGACTTACAGTCACTTCCAATTCCTTATCTCATAGGTTGCTGGTTTGTTTGTTTATTCATTTATTTATTTATTTAGAGATGGGATCTGACTATGTTGTCCCGGCTGGTCTTGAACTCCTGAGCTCAAGTGATCCTCCCACCTCAGCCTCCCAAAGGGCCAGGATTACAGGCATGAGACACTGTGCTTGTCCTATTTATTTTCACATACATATTTTAAGAGACGGGGTTTCACTATGTTGTCCAAGCTGGCCTTGAACTCCTGAGCTCAAGTGATCCTCCTGTCTTGGCATCTCAAACTGCTAGGATTACAGGTATGAGCCATCATGCCCAGGCTCAGGTCGCTTGATTTAGAAATGAAATCTTACGTTTCCTTTTTTGGTTAAAATTAAGGTAAAAGATGAATGACTTGGATGCTTTAAAGAGGAAGAGGGGTCAAGTCCTTCCAAATGTAACAGAAACAAACAGGAAGAGTTCTGGGACGCCTGGCTTTCTCCTTTCTTCTATGCACCCTGCTTCCTTCTTTCTTCCCTCCTCTTTCTGGCTTTTTCTCTCCAGCTATAATGGTTTTTTAACTTTTTTATATGTTATGGGAAAACACAATGAATTCATTCACAAACAAAATTAGTTATGCAGAACCGAACATGCAACAAAAGCACGCCAGAGAGACAGGATTCCGGAGCAGAACTTACCCCACGCTTTAGGCTCCTGAAGCAGTGGATTTTGGGTTTGGAGGTCATGAACTCGTTGAAGCGGTGGGAGAGGGGTTCCTTTTGCTGCTTGGGAGACTGGGGGCCGTTGGGAACAGCAGAGGGTGAGGCAGAGGCAGGAGGGGGAGGGGGAGGCTGATGGGGGGATGTTAAAAGGGACATAAGCTACATGTAAGAGATGGAGCCGTGACAGAGTAAAAATCAGAAACAAGAAGATAAGACACAAAACAAAAATAAGCATCAAATCATATTTGAAATCCAACGCAAGTAAAACACAAACAATTAAATTTTAGGCCATGGTCCAAAAGAAAACATGTAGGAGGTGGTTAAATGAAGATGATGAGAGTTGGGAGGTTTAGTAAGTAACGCGACAGAAGAGGAGCAAGAAATATCTGACAAGGAGCTCGTGCAGACTTTCCCATGCAAACTACAGCTCTAGTTAGCTATTCCAAACCAGCTTAAGCCAGAAGGTAAATATTTCCATATCACCTAAGCTAACATAGCCTGATGGGAAAAAATGGAAGACCTTCAATGCTAAGGTTGTGAAAACAGTAGACAGTCTGTTTAAATTAATAAATATTAAGTCATTCTAAAGTTAAAGCAGTAATGCTGCCTTGATCATATTCTACAACCCCAGGTTAATGCTGTCATGCACCTATGTCTCACACTATGCAAAGAAAATGAAAAATGTTCATGGATACGCATGTTAACATGAATTCGAAACCAAGTTATTAACATGGTAACAGTTTCAATTAGATGTGCGGATAAAGTGTTACAGGAATTTCGCACCACATCCTCTCCCAGCCAAGGTCACCAGCAGTCCAGGAGAGGAAGGAGTGAAAGGTATGATGGGAAATGGTGGAGAGGTCAGTAATCTGTTAGTGTGGGTGTCACGGGAGGAGGAGAATGCTTCTGAAGTAAGACACAGGGCCATGGCAAAAATACCACCACCAAAAAGAAATGCTGCCTCCAGATACAAGGAGCACACTAGCTTTTTTCTTTTGCATTCTGAAACTACAGGTCTAAGATCTTAGTTTTCGTAAGACTCAAAGGTCAAGTCAAAATCTCCACACCTTATAAAACTCATTTCACACCGCGTCCAACCATCAGTACCTTATTCTTTTTGATGAACGGCCACAACTTTCCTTTGGATTTGCCACCAAATTTGAGGTCTGGTTTGCCTTCTCCTCTGGAATTTGAAAGGCTGTTATCGGACACGGTACGCTTCATTGGCTGAGTGTAATCCTCAAACTCAATGTCTCCAGGAGGCTCAAACCCTGATTTATAAGCTTCTATTACCAGCTGTGAATCCTGAAATTATACCCGCAAGCATATAAATACATTCAGAAGCATGCAAATACTTTTTAAACAATGAATTATGATGACCTCATACAGATGATATCTAAGGAAATAACACTGATTGATAATAACTTTTTTCCTAGTAACTTTTTTTTCTTTTTTTCAGATGGAGTCTCGCTCTGTTGCCCAGGCTGGAGTGCAGTGGTGCCATCTTAGCTGACTGCAAGCTACACCTCGCGGGTTCAAGCGATTCTCCTGCCTCAGCCTCCTGAGTAGCTGGGACTACAGATGCACACTATCACGCCTAATTTTTGTTTTTGTTTTGTTTTGTTTTGTTTTTTTGAGACAGAGTCTTACTCTGTCGCCCAGGCTGGAGTGCAATGGCGTGATCTTGGCTCACTGCAACCTCTGCCTCCTGGGTTCAAGTGATTCTCCTGCCTCAGCCTCCCAAGTAGCTAGGACTATAGGTGTGCACCACCATGCCCAGCTAATTTTTGTATTTTTAGTAGAGATGGGGTTTTATCATATTGGTCAGGCTGGTCTTAAACTCCTGACCTTGTGATCCACCCACCTTGGCCTCCCAAAGTGCTGGGATTACAGGTGTGAGCCACTATGCCCAGTCTAATTTTTGTGTTTTTAGTAGAGATGGTGTTTCACCATGTTAGCCAGGCTGGTCTTGAACTTTCTATCTCAGGTGATCCACCCACCTAGACTTCCCAAAGTGCTGGGACTACAGGCGTGAGCCACCACACCTGGTCAGCTTTCTTCATTCTCTTCAGAAGCTATCAATAATGTCCATTTGAGCTTTTAGAACACAGAACTGTCGTTTTCTGATTTTTTTTTTTTTTTTTTTTGAGACAGAGTCTCGCTCTGTCACCTAGGCTGGAGTACAGTGGCATGATCTTGGCTTGCTGCAACCCCTGCCTCCTGAGTTCCAGCAATTCTCGTGCCTCAGCCTCCCGAGTAGCTGGGACTACAGGCATGTACCACCATGTCCAGCTAATTTTTGTATTTTTAGTAGAGATGGGGTTTCGCCATGTTGGCCAGGCTGGTCTAGAACTTCCGGCATCAAGTGATCCACCCACCTTGGCCTCTCAAAGTGCTGAGATTACAAGTGTGAGCCACCACACTGGGTCAGCTGCATAACTTTTATGTTAAATATTTGGTTTTTCAAATTAATAGTAAAAGCCTATGCTGGTGTTATAGTTTATATTTTTTGAGAGAAATAGGTCTCTAGGAATTCATTGGTCCCCAAGCAGTATTCTCAACCAAAGAAGGTTTTGCCCTCTCAGGGGACATGCTGCAATATATGGAGACATTTTTGACGGTCAGAACTTGGGAAGTGCTACTGGCATCTCCTGGGTAGAGGCCAGAGATGCTGCTAAACGTCCTGTAATGCCCCCAAGAAGAAAAATGATCTAGTCTAAGATAATGTCAAAAGTACCTGAAGAGGCCCTGTTTTGGCTGGGCACAGTGGTTCAGACCTATATTCCCAACACATTGGGAGCCTGAGGCAGGCAGATCAACTGAGGTCAGGAGTTGGAGACCAGCCTGGCCAACATGGTGAAACCCCGTCTCTACTAAAAATACAGAAATTAGCGGGGCGTGGTGGCACGTTCCTGTAGTCCCAGCTACTCCAGAGGCTGAAGCAGGAGAATCACTTGAACTCAGGAGGCAGAGGTTGCAGTGAGCTGACATCGCGTCACTGTGCTCCAGCCTGGGCAACAAGAACAAGACTCCGTTTCAAAAGAAAAAAGAAAAAAAAAAAAAAAAAAAAAAAAAAAAAAAAAAAAAAAAAAAAAAAAAAAAAAAAAAGAAGAAGAAGAAGAAGAAGAATCTGACTTACAGGAAACAAAGTCTTTCCCTTTTTCCAGCAAACACTTTTCCAGAAAACAGAAACTCAATTCTGTCATCTCTTGGACAATTTACCACTTAAACGTGTTTTCCAAAAAAGGAATTATAAAGTTAAATCTGAGACACAGGGCATGTATGACCACTGAAAGCAACTACCCACCGTGAGATGATTCAACGAGGTCATACAGAAAGGGGACGGGGAGAAAAAATGGAACTGCAAATAGTTATCAGTGAGGCTCAAATGGCAATACTTACATTTTTCTGATCGATGGACTCGGCTGCTTTTACTATTCCATCCAAGCACTTCCCAATGATGGGTATCACCTGCCGATCAACCTCCGCGTACGTCTTCATGGAGTCTCCAATCCTCACAATCCTCCTTTCCTCCATCTCTTGTATTTTCTGCAAAATGAGATTTTGTATAAAGTCAGCCTGGTCCATGATTATTAAATGAAGTTGTTTTTTGGTAGCATTGTTACCTCTAATGAGTTCTCTATGAGGAAAAACGGGTTAGAGTTAGCGTGGCCATAAGTATACAGTGCCTCCATATGAGCCAGCTGTACACTGACTTTATAAACTGTTAGGCTGCCTAAATATACGCTTTGTACAATTCCATTCTAATGTTAATAAGAATGCCAAACTCAAATAGTTGTTTGTTTGTTTGAGATAGAGTTTGGCTCTTTTGCCCAGGTTGGGGTGCAATGGTGTGATCTCAGCTCACTGCCACCACCGCCTCCCAGGTACCAGCGATTCTCCTGCCTCAGCCTTCCAAGAAGCTGGGATTACAGGCACCTGCCACCACACCTAGCTAATTTTTTGCATTTTTAATGGGGTTTCACCATCTTGGCCAGGCTGGTCTTGAACTCCTTACCTCAGGTGATCCACCCACCTAGGCCTCCAAAGTGCTGGGATTACAGGCATGAGCCACCCATCCTGGCCAATAGCTTTATTATTAACACCATTTGTAGTCCACTTCAAACATTTTCTCCATCTTTAATCTACTAACTTTACCTTTTACCAAAAGCACAGTATGTAGTTAACCGTCTCAACCCAGCACAGGTGGGTGTGCCTTCCAACTGTCATTTTGGAAGTGCTTGTTTGCTGTGCGTATAGACACTAAGAAGCAAATATTTATTATTCTTTTCTACAGTTGGACTCAAAGTTGCAAAAGATCTGTAAAATGGAAGAAGGTATGCCTATCTTTTCTCGTACCATTTTTGACAACCTAACATGGGCAAAAGAAAAAAATCCAAAAGAAAGAG